GGAGCCCCATGTCTTTCGGCTCCAACAGCTTGTCCACCACTCTCAACTGCGCAGCAGTTGCCACCCTGATTCTGGCTATGCTTGTTCGATGTTTGGGGGATCGATAGTTGATCGATAGTTGATCGGCCCATTATCGATTTCAGCGGAATCCCAGTCAAATCTGCCGTCTCCATCAACCTCGCTCATCCTCCAGATCCAGTTCTTTAATCCTCTCAGGATATCGCCGCCGGCTCAACTCAGCCGGCCTCTCCATTTGCTTGTTATCCACCACGACCACCGAGGATACAACCGAACTTTGGGGCTTGGACGACTCTGCCTCTTCGGCCTCCATCGGTGTGGACCCCGGTTGTCGGGTCCGGCTGCCCCTTGAGCTGTCTCTCGAGTCGATTCTCGCTCCCAAGCGACTGGATAGTGGTCCAGTGGCAGAGAAAGGGGGTATAGGGGTAGACCGAACGGAGGACACCGGCTCGGGTGGTATCCACACTTCCAGTCCCTCGTTCATGTGTTCTTGACCGCTCGGTCCAAGTTGAATCGTCCACTGGACCTAGGAACTTCATCTACCTCCATCCGCGACTCTGGCCTCAATCCTGCGGTTGCTTGTTCTGCGGTCCTCGTTCCCTTCTCTTTCTGCCTTGGAAACTCTCGTTGTCGCCTCTGAATCTTCTCCTTCTCTGACTTCAGCTGCTCAGAGTTCGCCTCGTTTTCGTGTACCTTCTGCTCTTGTTGGTACTCTGTCCTAATCATGTTGAGATCCCGCCGAGATCATGACGAGATCTCTTGTTGGTACTCTGTCCTAATCATGTAAAGACCATTTGTGCTTGCGCCGTGTTCTTCCTGCAGAGCTCGTTTAGTTCCTGTTGTCTCTTGACCGCTTCTTTCACATAAGCTTGGGGCGACGACTTTTTCCCTGCGTATTCTGGGTTAAAAAATGTTAGAGGCATTGCTCTCTCCCTGCCCGTTAACATCATGAAGGGACTGATTCCTGTCGTCGAGTGTTGCGTGCTGTTGTATGCCCTACCATTTGCGGCAGATATTTATCCCAGTCTGTCATGTATCTCGAGCAATATAACCTCAGCATGTTCACCAATGTTCTGTTCTGTCTCTCCACTAACCCGTTAGTCTGAGGATGGTAAGTCGTTGAGTGCGCTTGAGCAATGTGTGACCTCTTCATCATTTCTTTTGTCAGGTCACCCACGAAGGCTTTCCCGTTGTCCGACTGGAATTTTATCGGACAACCATATCGTGATATCCAATTTGTTATCAAGTGGTTACAATTCTCCTCTGCAGAGGCTGTTTGACAGGGCACCGCTTCTGCCAACTTCGTAAAGTGGTCTATTTCGACAAGTATTTGGTTGTATCTCGACTCTGCAATGCAGATTTTCTGGTGGTCTATCAGCACAACCTCGTTGAATTCCGAGCTCTCAACGGATTTGAGTGGGAACTTCATCTGCCGTGGGTATTTCACCTGTAGGCATGCCAGACACGCGTTCACCCATCTTTCGCAAGCCTTACTTAACCCCGGCCAATCAAACCTGTGTAGTGTTCCGCCATGGTTACTACCTTCAACTTGATCCTACATATTAACCAACTTGAGAATACCGTACCAGTTAGACTTGAGAATACCGTACCAGTTAGACTTGAGAATACCGTAACAGTCAAACTTGAGAAAGCCGTCTGAGACCGCTGATAGAGTACTTGCACTAGATATCTTTCTCTTCATTGAGTGAGTGTAGCTTAGGTGTCGGTTCAATTTTTCAAATCAATTTGAAAAAAAACCCATTTTTTAGACCAAGATAATCTATTTCCAACCTAAACCCCCCCCCCTCATTATCGTGTTTAAAAAATTATCCCACCATCTATTTCACTTAAAAAAATCAATTAGAAGTTTTAAGAGCATGCAGTTTCATTTCATGTTTTAGCACCGTTGATTCCTTAAAATTCAATTGTCATGCCAATTGCGTTAAAATCTATCTACCTGCTTCGCGCCCCTTTGTACCTAACTTGAGACCCCCTTTGTCCTAACTTGAGACCTCCTTGTCCGTCCGAAACTCAGGTGATACTCAAGTAGTACTTCTTGTGCAGGTGTAACGTTATCTCCGTTTCTGCAAAGACCACGTGTAGGATAGCGTATAACTCCCTTGGGTTCAATTTGCCCCTGCTTGGGTCATAGACTGGCATTGAGACCTCCATTATTCTTCTTTCGACCATGAAGTCTCTCAGCCTCGTCAGTTTTCATTATCACGTGCTCAGGATCTATCGTGTTCCTTTCATTGACCATCGTTACCAAAAAGCACAGATATTTACCCGGAACAACTGATGGGGGAAGCGCAGCCATTCCTCCCAACCCCGGTCTCTGCCTGAATAGAAACTCCACGTTCTGATATTCTCTCTTGAAATCAGCCTCTAGTCTCGAATTGAAGCTCATGTCCGCCGTTATACAGATCGCGCTTGTTCTATCCGACAAAATGAAGTCGCTATCCATGATCAGGATGTTCTCTGAATATTCATTGGGTGTATCAAACTTTAATTTGAAATTCCAGCCTATGGCAGTATCCGCCTGTTCCTCATCTAGTTCCAGCCCATTGGTCTCTTTCACTTCTCTTAGTTTCTTTATCATCAAATTTTCGGTGTGGGTAAGTCCTACCCCCACTCCCCGGACAAAAATATTTATCGACGTCCACGTCGATGATGCTGGGTCTAAGTTATCTGGCGGTATCTCGAGCGGCCTGTCAGCTGCTGTCCACCCTATTAGGGGATCTTTTGTTTTCACGTGTTTTTCTGCTGACACGACGACCTGCTGGATGCTTTGCTCTTCATCTCTTTCGCTCTTGAGATCGCGCATCCATTCCAGTATCCTCAAGTTTGTGTTTTCCCTCCTTTCTATTTAGCTCTGCTGCAGATCTGTTTCTTGTTCTGGTGTGGAGTAGTCTTCTTGCGGGTAGTGTTCGCTGTCGTTGATGATTTGCCATTCATCATCGGCTACCAATTCGCCCACACTTAGTAACTCTTCGCTTAACTCGTCAGGCTGTACCTTGTCAATCAAGAAGTCATCTCCCGTACCTGTATATCTCAAGCCTGTCCGTTTCCGACTGACACTCCTTGTTCCTACTGATCTCGGCAAGTCTTGTTCCGTCCACTTTGGCACCTCATTCTACTCTGGATCATTCCAGTCCTCTTCCGCAAAGGATTCAGCATCTGAGTCTGCATCTATCTTCTCATTGTCATCCAAGCTCACGTCCTCGTTGCCATCATTTTTTTCTCTGGTTCCTCTTTCGTTCACTTCGCATGCTGGCTCTACCAATAGGTGCTCTAAGCCCTCCATATTCTGCGATACTCACCAAACTTCCGGAGATGGGACATGAGGTTTCAGATTTTCATAATGCGCTGCTCGTCCCGTATTCAAGCAGTAGAACCGTCCCTGCTGGTGTACTTCCGCTATCATGAATGGTCCACGAAATTTCTTAAGTTTCTTCGTCCCCTTGGGAGGTATTATGTTCTGGAACACCCAGACGTATTGGCCCACTGCATACGGTTTTGCTTGAAGTATCCTCTCATTGTATTTCTTCCGCTGCCTCATTTGTGCTTGCGCCGTGTTCCTCCTGCAGAGCTCGTTTAGTTCCTGTTGTCTCTTGACCGCTTCTTTCACATAAGCTTGAGGCGACGTCTTTTTCCCTGCGTGGGCAAAAGAATGTTAGAGGCATTGCGCTCTCCCTGCCCGTTAACATCTTGAAGGGACTGATTCCTGTCGTCGAGTGTTGCGTGCTGTTGAATGCCTCTACCACTTGCGGCAGATATTTATCCCAGTCTGCCATGTATCTCGAGCAATATACCCTCAGAATGTTCACCAATGTTCTGTTCTCTCTCTCCACTAACCCGTTAGTCTGAGGATGGTAAGTCGTTGAGTGCTCTTGAGCAATGTGTGACCTCTTCATCAATTCCTTTGTCAGGTCACCCACGAAGGCTTTCCCGTTGTCCGGACAATTTTTCTTCTTCAGCTTCTTCTTTTGCAGTGGGCCACTCCCCGGACTCTTGACCCAGACCATGGTGTTCAGCCTCCTCCTTGAATGATACCTTCTTCTTCCTAGCCATAGTCCGCTTAAGTATGTCATCAGGGATTCTCGCAACCAATGACTGCACGACTTCTTTTTCATCAGGTTTCTTTTCTTTCAAGGAGTCTTCGCTACCTTCCGCATCATTCCTTCTCAATATTGTGACTTCTGGTTTCTCTTTACCCTTTTCCTCGACCACGGGTTTATCGTCTGCTAGTTTCTCGAGTAATCTCTTTAAGTCATCACCTATCTCTGCCCTTCCCGTTTCTACTTGATTGAGATCATAGCCCTTTGCTTTGAGTGTCTCCCTCACAATTTTCGACTTCAGCATTATCCCGATTGGGATCCCTTGGTTTTTTTTCAGGATTGTTTTCTCTGGACGCTCTTTTGGTAATTCGGGATGATCTTTTATAGGTTTTCCAGACTTGTCGAGCCACCTCGTGAGTGGAAGACTATCGTACGTTTCCTTATCCATGAAAGAGAAGCCATCTTTGATTTCTGGCCTATCTGTCTCCCTCTGTTCCTGTTTCTCGTAGAACTCCGTCTTATTGCTCAAGCTATCGCCATATTGATGTTTTTTTTTGTCCTATGCTCAATTATCATGTTGTATCCATCCAGGCGAACTATCCATCTCCCATTGTAGCTCTGATCCATTGAGTACGTTTCTAACCAGCTGAGTGCCCTGTTGTCGACCCGTAACTTGAACGGCTCGCTACCTAGGTATGCCCTGTATTTTTCGACAAAAGTAACCACCGCGAACATCTCTGCTTTAGGCGCCCCGTACTTCATCTCTGTATCACTCAAGACTTTACTCCCGTATGCTATCGGTCTCAAGACTGTCTTTCCGTTCCATTCCTGCTCTTGATGTAGTATGCCAGAAATCGCTACTACCGACGCATCCGTGTCCAGCATGTACATTCCTTTTTCCGTAGGCATCCCTAACACCGGTGCTTAACACAACTCCTTCTTTATTCTCTGGAATAACTCTTCTGCCGCAATGTTCCACGTGAATTTCTTGCCTTTGTGCCTCATGAGCTGTTGCATTGGGTACATTTTGTCCGCATAGCCCTTAATGAATCCCCTATAAAAGTTCGCGAACCCCAAGAAGCTCATCAATTGATGTTCTGTTTTTGGTGCTTTCCAGGTCAGAACCGCTTCTACTGCGTCTGGGTTTGATCTGATGCCATGTCTATCAACCATCCTCCCCAGGTATTTAATCGAGTCCTTGACTATTTCGCACTTTGATGGTTTGCATTTTAGTCCCGATCTCTTCATGCAGGCGAACACCTCGTCTAGTCGCTCGATGTGGTCTTCTAGTGTTGGTGTCGCTATTACCACGTCGTCCACGTAGCACATTAGCTGGTTGCCGTATTTCTTCGTTACACCTATCAATGCGTGTGCCATCAATCGTTGAAACGTAGCCGTGGCGTTGCAAAGACCAATGAGCATGCTTTTCCATTGAAACAGCCCCAGCTCGCAGGCAAAAGCTGTTTTGTCCCTGTCCTGCTTCCTCAGTGGAACCTGCGAAAAAGCTGATCCTCAATCAAGTGTCGTAAAAAATTTTGCGTCCCCTAATTTCGAGAGGCTCTCATCAATTCTAGGTATGGGATAGGCATCCTTCACCGTGACAGAGTTCAGATATCGAAAGCCATAAAAAACCTTAATTGGTCGCCCTTCTTCTTAGCCATCACTACTCCACACGCCCACGGTGATTTGGATGGTTCTATCATATCATACTCTAGTAAGGTTTCTATCTCTTTTCTACATGCATCCGAGCTGTGTGGGGTCATACGCCTCGCCCCCTCCGTGTGCAGTACCGCCGACTCTTCGAGCTTTTTTTACTATTCAACAAATTTACAACATCCAATGTCTGCCTTATGTTTCGAAAAAACGTCCCCAGTCCGCTCTAGTACGTCGTCCTTGATGGCTTGCAGATGTTCGTCCGTTAACTTGCCCCTCAAGTGTTCTATTTCTGGTAAAACCGGTTTATCCATTTCCATTTCCTCTAGTGTGGGTCGTTCCGGGAAATTCGAACAGCTCGAAAGTCCATCGTCTGTCTCTGACTTAAGTGATTCCACAAGACCTGAGGTATCTTTCACTTTCTCTAATCTTCTCAAGAAACAAATCTTGTCCCTTTGATTGGGACAATCAAGAACTTCATTCTCTTTTATATTTTCAGTCATTTCATATCGAGTTTTCATGGGTAAAGCGTTTCCCAGTTTCCTTCCCCTCTAGATAGTGATGGATATATCAAGAGTATTCAACAAGACACTGACGCAGAGGCCGCTCTTGGTTATCGAGAAGGATCTTCCTAAAACAGCAGCACTTTGAATACTTGGATTTGGGACTATGCATACTTGCTTGTTGTCACTTAGTTTGTCATAATTTTTCATCCGCAAGCTTACAATTGCCGCTTCGTTTGCTTTCAGCCTCGCCCTCCTACTTGCTTTCAGCCTCACCCTCCTATTAGCCTCACGTCTGGCCAGCATTTTTAGAGTGTTACAATTTCCACTTCCTACCGCTCCCATCTCGGCCTCTGGCACTGGCACCGGCCTACACAATGTCTCATTCAACTTCTGTCTTTCAATTTACTCTTCTTCATCCGGTGCATATCCCAGACTCTTCATGCCTTGTTTGTACGTCCTGCAATCCGCCACGTGATGATCCGCTGATCCGCAATTTGCGCATGACCTACGTTTGTCCATATCATCTCTAGGCTTGTACCACGACGACCTCTGTGGTGGACTTCCTCCCTGCATGTTTCTATTTTCTGAGTAGGGATACTTCTTCGGTTTCAACAAGTACTCCCTTGACTTTTGTCTCATCTCTTCTGGAGTTGGTGCATTATCCTTCGAAAGTGTATAGTACGTTGCCAGCATTGTTGTCAAGTCGTCACTTTGTCTCATCTCTTCTGGAGTTGGAGCATTATCCTTCGAAAGTGTATAGTACGTTGCCAGCATTGTTCTCAGGTCGACGAACATCGAGGCGATGCTGAAATTCCTTCTGTTTGTTCATTCCTCAGGATCACTCCTTCTCCTCAAGCTCTCAAGATCATCCAGGAATCGATCTTTTTATTCATCGTCCCTCTGCCTTCTTTTTTCAAATCTCATCATAGCTTTGTGGTCGTTCATTCCTGATCCGAATCGGTTCAGCAATATCTCGAAGATCTTGTCACGTTCCTCTTCCTTCTTTGCAACAACACATTTCAACGCTGTGCACCCTAGGTTGCTCAAGATTGCCATGCAGGCCTGCCTTTCGTCATTCAAGTTGTCTTGTTCCAAGTGTAACCTCATGACTTCTACCCATGTGTCGATGCATCCATCTGAGTCTTTGAATTCCTTTGGTTTCTTGAAGGTTTCCTGGATTTGCCACCTCCTCTTTCACTCGAGTCTGTAGTCCTTGTAGCGAACGCTTCCAGTATCCTATTCATCATTTCCCAGATGTTAGCCCACGTCATGGCATCCGGTCCCACATTAGTTCTCGTGGTGGAATCCCCTGGGCCGTTTGTTGAGTTCGAGTTTCCACCCTTCAAAATTATCTTTGACCCCACCTGCCCCTGCGCTCGCTGCACTCCGGGGTAACGGTGTGGACTCTCGTTGATTCCGCCGTGGTTCTACAAAATCGACTCTGTTGCCTTGCGTTCGATCTGTTACCAGCTTGTCTTGTGCTGTAGAGTTTCTCAAGAGAGCATCCAGTTTGGACTGTATGGCACATGAAATTTCTCCCTGGTCTCTGCTTATTGTGTCTATTCTCGTCTCCAGACTCCACAATTTACTGTTCACAGTGCGTACCGTTGCTTCATTTCTTGCATGTCTTTTTTGATATTTTTCTCTCTTTACCGACAAAGAGAGAGAGAAAAATTTCAAAAAAGACATGCAAGAAATGAAGCAACGGTAAGACACTGTGAACAGTAAGTTGTGGAGTCTGGAGACGAGAATAGACACAATGAGCAGAGACCAGGCAGAAAGTTCATGTGCCATACAGTCCAAACTGGATGCTCTCTTGAGAAACTCTACAGCACAAGACAAGCTGGTAACAGATCGAACGCAAGGCAACAGAGTCGATTTTGTAGAACCACAACGAAATCAACGAGAGTCCACACCGTTGCCCCGGAGTGCAGTGAGCGCAGGGGCAGGGGGGCCAAGATAATTATGAAGGGTAGCACCTCGAACTCAACAAACGGCCCAGGGGATTCCACCACGAGAACTAATGTGGAACCCGATTCCATGAAAGGCGCTTACAACTGGGAAATGATGAATAGGATACTGTAAGCGTTCGCTACAAGGATTACAGACTCGAGTGAAAGAGGAGGGGCAAATCCAGCAAAACCTTCAAGAAACCAAAGGAATTCGAAAACGACTCAGATGGATGCATCGACACATGGGTAGAAGTCATGAAGTTACAGTTGGAACAAGACAACTTGAATGACGAAAGGCAGGCATGCATGGCAATCTTGAGCAACCTAGAGGGCACAGCGTTGAAATGTGTAGTTGCAAAGAAGGAAGAGGAACGTGATACTGCGGACAAGATCTTCGAGATTTTGCTGGACCGATTCGGATCAGGAATGAACGGCCACCAAGCTATGATGAGATTTGAAAAAAGAAGACAGAGGGACGATGAATCGATCGATCGATTCCTGGATGATCTTGAGAGCTTGAGGAGAAGGAGTGATCCCGAGGAATCAACAAACGGAGGGAATTTCAGCATCGCCTCGAAGTTTAACGAAGGGTAGAAAGTGACGACTTGAGAACAATGCTGGCAACGTACTATACACTTTTGAAGGATAATGCACCAACTCCAGACGAGATGAGACAAAATCAAGGGAGTACATATTGATGAAACCGAAGAAGTATCCCTACTCAGAAAATAGAAACATGCAGGGAGGAAGTCAACCACAGAGGTCGTCGTGGTACAAGCCTGGAGATGATATGGGCAAACGTAGGTCATGCGCAAAAATTTTTAGGTAACACTCTAAAAATGGTGACAGGAAAACCGGCATAATAACCGGCATTCGGCATAATAAAATATGGAGCCCAGATAATGTCGATAACCACAGTGGGTGGCCATGAAGTAACGAGAAACCTGAGTGAACCGAGCGATCAGACGATAATGCACATTGTTGTGTACGCAGACTACTTGAGTACAATAAGTCCACAATTAAAATCTAGAGCCTTAAGAGCTTTACTCACGAGGGGCGGCAGCAAATCAGTCCGCGACGAAAATAGATACACGGAGGACTACGCTCCACATGAGGTAATGTTAAACATAGATGGAATAAACATATACATGAAGACTATGATAACATGTGACGAAGATCTAGTCGGACAGATCTACTTGGGCAGAAAAGAACTGAAAGTGAGATCGATTGGACACTGCGCCATGTTGGAAAAAGATGCAAGGCATATCGGAACGGAAGCAGACGTATCAGCACACGTGCTTGACATAAACCGCAAGAAGACTCAGTTGCGCGGGTTACTAGGCACAGGAGCGGTCTTGAGCGTTATACCAATCGAAACTTGGGAGCGAGTGCGCTATGACAAACAAGATTTGATAGACTCGAGAATACGGCTGTCAACTGCAAACAAAGGGGCGCTGCGGGTCATAGGCAGGACACCAATAATAGCCCTAATTTTGGGGGAACGGAACCTGTGGTAGAGCTTTCTTGTGGAAAACCTAGATGAGTCTGATCAATTCATTTTAGGCAGAGTTTCATCAGAAATTTCCACGTAACAATTGATCTAAACCATGCCAAGTTCAGGATTCGAAACCCGGAAAGGAAGTACTTAATTAAACCGGTAAAATTATTAATGACGAATGAGAATAAAGCACCGGTGTTCCTGAGTAGGAGGGTGAGGCTGAAAGCAAACGAAGCGGCAATTGTAAGCTTGCAGATGACAAATTATGACGAACTAAGTGACAACAAGCAAGTATGCATAGTCCCAAATCCAAATATTCAAAGTGCTGCTGTTTTAGGAAGATCCTTCTCGATAATCAAGAGCGGCCTCTGCGTCAGTGTCTTGTTGAATACTCTTGATATACCCATCACTATCCAGAGCGGAAGGAAACTGGGATACGCTTTACCCGTGAAAACTCGATATGAAATGACTGAAAATGTAAAAGAGAATGAAGTTCTTAATTTTCCCAATCATAGGGACAAGATTTGTTTATTGAGAAGATTAGAGAAAATGAAAGATACATCAGGTCTTGTGAAATCACTTAAGTCAGAGACAGACGATGGACTTTCGAGCTGTTCGTATTTCCCGGAAAGACCCACA